AGTCGAGGTCCAGACGGTCAGGGGACGGTCGTCCTGTGGGTTGGTCAGCAATTTAGACGAAAAGACGCATTTTGTGAAATGACTTACACCAACTGAATCACGGACCAGCTCAGGAAGCTTGCGCGCGTACTGCTCACCACGGGGAGAGAGCGTAGTGTCGCCGCCAATGCGGCCATCCAAGTTGTACATGGACTCTCCGTGCTGTTCCCCATTAGTCAAGTTTCAACAGCGCAAAGTCAGTGATGCATACTCTAGAGAGCCAGATGGAGCGAGGGCGGATGTGCAAGTTCATGAGGTAGTAGACAACGCGACTCTGAAGGTAGTCCTGAATGCGGTTGATGATGACTTGCTTGCCGACATCCATGATCTTCAGGTAGGTATACTCGTTCTCATCACCATCCTCGTCAAGCGTCTTGTAGACCTTCTCGTAGTTGCGAATGCGGTTGCGGAAGTCAAGAGCGGCCTCCTCGGGGTCCTGTCCCTGGTAGTCGGGCGAGGTAGTCTTGACATCGCGAATGTTGGCCATGATGAGGTTCTCGTTGTCGCACTTGCTCTCGACGAAGAGGACCTCGATGCCCTCCTTGGTGCAGATGTCGAGAACCCACTTGCGGCGCTCCTTGGTGGAGTTGGTAGCATCGAGGATGCCAATGACGCCGCCCTGGCGGAACCAGGCCAGCATGTCCTCGATGGCCTTCTCGGCCGCGGCGCGACGTCTGCGCTCGCCCTCGGTATTGTAGAAATCAAAGAAATCAGCCGAGGGGTGCGCGTCCTCCTGGCGGCGGTAGCTGCCAACGTTGAACGTCTTTGCCTTGATGGAGAGCCAACCCAGGTAGCGTTGCGCTGAGCCAAACGAGTCAGTGTCAAATAATCGAAATATCGACGCTGGGAATTTGCGCCAAAGCAACATCCGCGTCGTTTGCTGAATATTCCCTGCAGAAATACGCAGCTGGAATATTTACTCACCTTTCTGGGCGATGAAGCTCTTGCCCCGAGCGGGCAGACCAACCATGACGACGCATATCTTGGTATCCTCCACCTGAATGCCTATGCCGTTAGTCTTGGCCGGCATCTTGACGCTGTGTTTTCTCTCGTTCTCTCTCTCTTTTGGTTGTTGTCCGAGCGGAAAGTTGTTATGACGAAACAGAAGGAAAAGGATATTGTAGAAGCTGAAAACGCGTAGGCATGAGAAGGAAGCTGGAGATGAATTGAGTGGCGTGGAAAGAGGGAGCGCGGAGGAAGGCAGCTCGCGTGATGCTTCCAGCTTGTGGCAGTAGCTCTACGCCCAAATAGGCGGGACCTCTCGGGTGTGACTCTCGGGGCGGGTGCGGTGACTTTGGGACGGGGGTGACGGGGATGACGGGGGTTAAGGGTCACTCTGAACCGGACGACATGGAACTGCTGAAAGAAGTGGAGGAGGTCCTTGTCTCTTTGATTTCGCTGGTAAAGATACTGGCAATCTATAGGGACTAGGGAGAAGACTGAGCCAACGGCTGTGATTCGAAACGTTGTTTGCTGAAGAATTCCGTTTGCAGGCAAAGGCAAGGGATGGATGTAAGGATAGGTAGAGAGGTATGGGTATGTGTAGGTGTAAGGAGATGCAGAAACGGCACAGTTGAGGTTGCACAGGGTTTGGAGAACGATGATGTAGTGAGGAGAAGAGAGTGACCTGATGCTAGGTGAGGTGAAAGGTGAGGGTGGAGGGCATAGAGTAATGAGTGGATGGGCGGCGTGCGTGAGTACGTGAAAGTGTGAAGGGGATTAAGAGAAAGGTACGTAAAACATAGGTAAACGAGGAGGGGGAAAGGAGTCCCAAGAGAACAAGGGCGCCGAGAGGATATCCCGAGGAAGAGGAACACCAGAGGTACTTGGTAGGCAATGGAAGACAGCTTGGAATCGACTTGGCTGCCAGCAAAGAGCCGAGTGCAGCAAGTACTTCTTTCTCAGTGAGGTAACTACTTCAGAGTAAAGGTATGGAATCGCTGGACTCGGCAGTACCTTGGACGATACTCAGGCCCTCAAAGAACAAACAGCGGGCGCAAAGACAGCAACGGTCATGATGGAGAGACACCAGGCTCAGCTCATCCATCAGGTCAGTTTGCCCAGTTCAGATATCAAGTCCACCACTGGATGAACTGATGCGACATGTGTCTTGCCGGGGGGATGGATCGCTGTTTGTGCGGAAAGGTATGGTATCCGTACCCTGTAGGTAAGGTAAGGTACTTGAGCAGAGCACCGCTTGCTTGGTGACCCCATCTATCCGTAAGTATCTTTGGGAATCCCAGGAGTGACATGTGCTAGGTCACTATTACCGAAGCAGTGGACAAAATACTGACTATCCGTAGAACAGAACCTGCCCTCTGGGTAGCCCGAGGCCGTTGGATCAAGGACGCCAAACAGAATGGGACCAAAGGTAAAGAATAGGTCTCATCTTCAAGACGTCCCGTTCGCCCGTCCGCAACTGAGACCACCACCAGCTTCACCAGCTACCTTGAGCAGACACAATAAGATGGATAAGGTGTCCCTTGAGCTGCATGCACCTAACTGGGTATGCATGCAGGGCAGGTCATTCGTTCCATTGTGCGCAACGGCAGAGGCCGCCGTTCCCCCCTCGCGCGGCTTCTCGTCCGTGGTCTGCCCGCCCCTCCTTCATGGAGGACCACTGGACCCCATGCCCCAGGGCGAACTCCAAACCCCCTCCCCCCCCCCCCAAATTCGGGTGCCCCTCATTCTGCCCGCCTATCCCCGGTGCCCCTTGTCGGGGAGCCTAGCCCACTGGGCCACTGAAAGGGCAGCTCGAGTCGAGGGTAATGGAAAGCTCCAACTTGAAGCTCCAGCAGCTCAGCGCAGACTTTAGCGGACCATCCCCGCATCCACCTCAGTCACCGGGACATGTCGCATCCTGCTCCCGCCCAGCTTGAGCCTTGATGTGCCAGTTCGCCAGTCGGCTTTCTTGGTTCACCACCCTCCTAAGAGCCAAGAGGGCAGCTCTCACCGAGAACAACCGAGGTGGACATCAGGCCACGCCGAACTGATCGATTTGACTTGCCAGACATAGCCGGAGCCTCCTCATAACACCACGCACATCGAGATTTGGTAGACTACCTTTTTCGCGATGACGAGGATGCAAACAAGAAGGACCCTTTAATGCTGAAGAATGAAACCCAATTTCCAGTCCGCTTGAACTTCCCATTCCAACCACAAATCTTTATAAGAGCGCCTTTTCTGGTGCCGTCAACGTCTTGACTACTTTGCCAATCGTTTTCACTGCAATTGCTCATCTATTTGCTGCTCGGTCACTTCCGGCTGCGGCTATTCACCAGAGTCCACAGAGAGCCAAAGATCCAACACTCGACTTTGCATCGTATCAACCACTTGGCCGACAACAATGATCATAGGTCATCCAGGTCCCCAAAGCTCTCGAGGCTCAATTGAGCAATCCAATGGCCACTAACATCTGACCCCCACGCAAACCCGCCAGGGGAAAAGGTCACCCGGGACAAGTCTCCTGACCGCGCAACATGGGAGATTTCACCGCCGCACTTGCTGTGGGAAACACCTCTATCCGCAAAGGAGTCTAGGCTTGAACAACTGTTTCCAGGGGGTATTTTCTCTCATAGCCCAGCAGCCCAGCCCAGCTCCGAACAAGCAGGTCCAGCCAGCCGGGACGCGGATCCAACAAATCGGCACGATTGCCAGATCGTATCAAATAGTCCAGAAGCCAGAAGGAAAAAAAGGCTAGGGGAGGGGTCCTCCATCGCTGACGAACACCCCTGCGTGATTATTCACACCGCCAGGAAGCTATTGACTGGGCAAAGGGGAGAAGAAGGTCACTTGACGATGCCCGTGAGAAAGCTGGTGCACTCCAAACAAGACAACTGGAATCCACACAAACGACCAGAAAAACACCTCAAAAAAGTCTCAAAGCTCTTGAATATCAGGGAGAAAAGAAGGGAAAGAGATTCGATAATATCGTACCTTGCTAAAGCTCCAAGTATGCTGTCGTCGAGGCGTCTTCTTACTCTCGTCGGCACTATTTGCCGGGATCACTCCGATGCCCATGATGGATGATGGCTGGGTTGCTTCGTAACTAGGCTTTGGTGGTTCGCTGAGTAATTCGGGAATGCCTTCGTCCAGGTCGCTTTCCAGTCTGGTCAGGTCGGAAGAACACTATTCCAGTCTTTTTCTTAGAATTGTTGCCGACCACGGGGGATGTCGGAGGGGTCCCAAAAGATCGGTACAGCGACTGCCGAGTAACCGCCGCACACCGCAAACGAGTTGAGACGATACGATCGTGACGGCAAAGAAGAGGTGGTGCAAGAGAGACAGGAAGAGGAACGAAAAGAATCTGCAGAGGAGAAGAGAAGGAGAGGACTGGCCTCTGAAGAAGCAGCAGCAGCAGCAGCAGCAGCAAGGAGGTCGGTATCGCTTGGAACCTAAGGAAGTCGGTGAGGTGTGAGTAAGTGTTGCCGAGGGGCCTGGATCGTGAAGTGTTGAACCAAGTGGCAGAAATCAGAGCGCCATCGCAGTGACCTCACTGTGGTGTCTTATCGATAAGGACTCCAGGCCTTGATAAGCCCTCGTCGCCACTCCGATAAGTCCCGACCCGAGCACCGGTTTCAGTCTCGTCCACTGTGGAAACACCGCCTGCGCTGGAACTGCCGCTGTCTCTAACCTGGAAATGCACTTCATCGGGCTGCCCTGGGCGCACTTAGGTGGAGGGGACGAGGATGCCAGGATGCTAACCAAAACAGTTCCAAGCAAGCAAGCATTCAAAGAAAGTATGAGGCAAGTGGCATTCATTAGACTGAACCCTATCCCACCAGTACAATTACAACTCTGTGTAAGCTACTATGTCTTTGGCCAACATGACCCCAAAACAACCTTAGCAAATCCATCCCCAATCTTGTTGAACAGCCTCCATAAACTTGGGTCGTCTCAGTCCGAACCTCAAATGACCTGATGAAGAGTCCTCGAAACTACCAGACCGCTGCTTCCATTTCTTACTTCTCGGGAAGCTGAGGGGTGGCACCGTAGGTTTCGCGACCGTAAAAGCGAACCTGGCCAGCGCCAACGTCAAAGTAGGCCTCGACATTGTGAAGGAAGACTGAGCCCAGGATGTAGGGACCCGTGCCACCGGTAGTGATTCCAACCTGGCAGTAGCCCGTGAGAGGATCCACCAGCCCGTGATAGATGAGATCAACGGGGTTGATGAAGAAGCTCGCGCCTTCGATGATGACAGCTATCTTGGGAGCAATAGCATCGCAAGGGGCAAAGTATCCACCATACTGGAACAAGTAGATGGCGCTGGGGGAGAAAGATCTGGCAATAGCCTCAGCTGTGGGCGGAGGCACGTACATGAGCGTCGTGCCAGTGTCGACAATGTAGAGGTACTTCTTGGTGTCGCTCGTGGATCCCCAACGCAAGCCATCGACGAGGATAGTGTAGTAGGAGTATTGCCAGCTACCGTCGGGACGCTGTGAGTTGATGCTAGTCTTCAAGATTGTAAGTCATACTGAGATGTAATCTCGTTCTAGTCAAAGCTTACAATGATGAGATCGGTGTAGGCCGTAGGGCTAGTGATTGGCAGACCAGTGCGACCACCCCATCCAATCACGCCAGACGAATTGCGGACGAGAGAGACGCTGAAGGCATCTGAAGAGAGTCCTTGCTGAACCATGCTGGTGAAGAAGGGCGAGTATGGGACCTGGAAAGCAGGGCGATCCTCATTCATGTCGCCAGTGAAAGCGCTGGTGATGGAGGGATAGGCAAGACCGAGAACACCGTTGGTGTAGTTGTTGCCCATCCAGTACGTCTTGTTGGCCAAGCCGACTTGCTGTTGTTTGACGACGATACCGGCCACCTCGATGTCACTGTAACCCATAGGGCCAGACACTCGCTCGCCAGAACCGTAGCTCAAGGCGAAGTGGACATCCTCGACGGGGCCATATTTGAACTCGTCAATCTTGTCTGGTCCAAAGCCGCAAGATTCAGGGGAATAGACAGCAGTGCCTGACAGGTTGGTGCAGGTCAGATTGGAACTGGTGGCCCAGGTGTCGCTGCTGCCAGTGTCGAAGATCATGTTGATGAGCTTGCCATCCCAGGTAACCTCGACAGCATATTGAGTACCCCAAGGAGATAGGGCTGTGATGTTCTGGTAGCTGGAAGAGAGATCTCGAGGTTGGGCCGCGCCCAATGCCGTGGCGGCGTTGTGGCCGGTGATTCTGCCATGAAACGGCTTTAATTTCTCGGTGCGGCCAGAGACCTCATCTGGGGCAGCCTCACGAAAGGCCTTGATACGCTGGAAGTTGACGCCTTTGAGAGGGCTCTTGATCTCGACACCAACACGGCGTCTATCCTTGGCCAAGACAACGTCGGCGGAAAGGAGACCAACTCCCAACAGAGAGGAGAGGACGTTGGTGACCTTCATGACGTCTTTGGGGCACGGAGAGAATGTATAAATGAGGGTGGTTGAAAGGAATGATGGATGGAACAAGGGAAGGGACGAGACAGTCGAGCTACAGCTTGGGTCTCTTTTTGAAAGATGGACGAGGACGCTGGTGAAGTGTTGAGGAGAAAAACCGAGAAGAGGTGGCTAAGGTGAAGAAGAAGAAGGGTTTTCGAAAAGGGGGACAATCCTCGGACGTGTGTTCGGGGTGGACGGTGACGACAAGAAGGCGCAGCAGATATGAAGGTGCTTTTCCCCTCGGCTGGTCCCGTCTGCGTTACTTCTCTTTGGCCGAATGGTAACATTGGGAAAGCGTGTGTATGGCAGTGACTGCTAGAAGCTGGAAGGAGGTACATGAGGTGGTTGCCATCGTGGACGACGGGAAGGGCAAGTACCGCTTGCCTTGGATCGTTTGTTCGGGATGTCACGTCCATCTCGGAAGGACCAGACCCACACGGAAACAGCGTGCCTTCTTTTGCTATCCTGGCCTCCCGTTGAGGAAGTTGCAGTTTGCCACTGACTCGGAAGGCACTTGCGAAGGTCCCGTCTATGTCATTGACACTTGGCTATTGAATCTCATAAAAAAACGACTACATTGAGAAACTCATAGCTCATGGCTGAGACCCGCAACTAGTCCTAATTTCATCCCCTCTCGCTGCGCATAGGTAAGCTATTCGGTCCGTTGATGTAGATCTCATCTACATCTTATCTGCGACTTATCTTTTCCTTACATATTGATACAAACAGCCTCAACGACCTCGTATCGACCGATGTTTACGGATGTCGCATTGCTTCGGACAGAAGCTGGTTCAAGCTCGATAACCTTCTTCAGACTTGAACTTTTACCATAAATGAAAGCCTAGCTCATCGTGGTTGTGTCACTGTGAGAATCATCCAAGATTCCCCTTGAAGCACATATTGCTCATGGTCGGGCATAGGCATTGGGGCAATATGAGTCAATTATCTGGTTGAAACAATGAGCATTCGTCAAGCCCAGCTAGGGTCTCAAGATTCCGTCTCATTCAAACTGCTTTAATCACATTAGGCGGATACCTGCAGCATTTGCCAGGTGTGCCATTCAGGTACCAGTATCACCGGACGTTACTCGGGAGTTGGCTAGCTCATTGAGCAAACGCAAAGAGTCTGAGACCAGACACATAATATCGGAAGTCGGCTCGAGCAAACGTAACCAGGTCGAGACAGCATCTGTTGATCTCAAGTAGAGGGCTTCTCGAGTTTACCAAAGTCCTGCCTCGCCACTGCGCCATCAAGCTTCGGTTACACAATATGGGTCCTATGTTTGTTTAGGATTGTCATTCACGGCAAAATCATATGCTCTCAACGTGTTGTCAACGTGTTGTGAAAGAAGATATTTGGGCATACGCCTAGGTCTCTCAGTTCTCAGCTCTCAACCCCTGTCCGGCAGATCTGTTTGTCCCTTCATATTAAATGCGAGATGGCGCGCCATCCGCATATGCCCTGCCCAACGTGCCACCATTGTCGTCATGCAGTATGCCCGGCCCACTGTCGTCGCCACCAATTGAACTTCATTTCAACCGAGTCGACTGGCACGAGAAGCGACGTCCATTGAGGAACCCCTGAAATTGGGGGCACTGCCGTCGACTGCGGTTGACACATAGGGTCCAACCTCCGACTCATATTGAGCAACGTCAATGATACATGGCAATGTCTGACGAGGGCTCGCAGCGGGTTCATGACATAATCACCAATACGACGTGTCCCATCTTATATCAAAGGCTGCCAGATTAAGGTGCTGACACCCCCGATCTCAGCTCCGGAGTCTGGGACCGATCGGCCTAAAAGAATCGGAGTTCATGTCCCGCCGGCGGGCCGCTGGGCTGACTATGCTCGTGTCACTCCGGTCTGACCGGACTGCCTCATTTTCCCATCAATATTTTGACATTGAGGCAGAATTGAAGCCAAGATCTCAACATGAATCCCTCAGGATTTGGTTGAGACATCCAGAGCCCCGTGCGGCAGGGATGGAAAGCCGAGGCACTTACCGGAAAGGGTAACCTAGCCAACCTTAACATGATGACGACAAGACCCGAGGATAGGGCTGAGAATGCACTGCCTGACGTTCATAAGGTGACCCGTCCATGCCATTGGAGCTCCGACTACCTTATATCTTAACCTCACCTTTTCTCCCTCCCTTATCTTTACCGTGAACGTTGACTGTAACCCTCCCCTAGGATTCTTCATCGGATAGTTGGGCGCCAAAAGCAACGGTCGCTGTCGAAAGTTTCTCTCACACAATAAACTATTTCACACTCACCATGGCATCAAACCAACCCACCGGCGCTGCCGGACCCCTGCCAGCTATGCAAGAGCTCTCACCAACGACGTTCCTCTACGACCCGCCCTCATCCGTCCCGGACCCGAACTCACCCAAGCTCGTCGCTATCTTCAGCTGGATGTCGGCCCAGGATGTCCATATCGCAAAGTACACATCGCGGTACATGGCAATGTACCCCTCCGCCAGCATCCTCCTCGTGAAATGCCCCTTCATCCACACCCTCTCCAACCGCATCTCCAAACGCCAAATCAAGCCGGCGGTCCCCGTGATCCGCTCCCTAGCAGACTCCGCCCCGCCGCCGGCCTCGTCCGAGACGGGGACGGGCCAGCGGGCCCCGCAGCTCCTCTTCCACGTCTTCTCCAACGGCGGCGCCACCAACCTCGCAAAGTTCCTCGAGCTCTACGCCGACGCGGACCGCGCGGGCCGTCTGGAGCTCCCGCCGCACGTGACGCTCTACGACTCCTGCCCCGGCGGATTCCACTGGATGCGGAGCTACCGCGCGCTCTCGGCCTCGATGCCGCGGATCCTGGCGCCGCTGGCCCACGTCTTTATCGGCTGGTTCTGGCTCTTTCACGTCCCGCTCGGGCGGGTCGGATTCTTTGGCAAAATGTGGGCGGCGCTGCGGCAAAAGGCGCTGTTAGGCAGTGAGAGGCGGCGGGCGTATCTGTATAGCAAGGAGGATGAGATGATTTACTGGGGTGACGTGGAGAGGCATGCGGATGAGTCTGCCGAGGTTGGGTTCAAGGTCCGCAAGGAGAGGTTTGATGGGAGTCAGCATGTTGCGCATGCCAAGTTGGATTCGTCGAGGTATTGGGGCCTTGTGAAGGATGTGTGGGATGAGGACTTGGTTAAGAAGAAGGTTGAGCCGCCGACGCCGACGACGAAGTCTGCTGATGCCTCGTCAGAACCAACGCCCGAGAACGCTTCAGAGACTACCGACAAGACTCCAGAACCTGTGAAGACTGCAACGAGGTCACCGCAGGTTGCACCGGAGGGCCCAAAGGCCCAGCCAGAATCGCCGAAGGCTGTTCCGGAGCCGGCTCCTGAACCACCCAAGCCCGCACCACCGCCACCAGAAATTGCACCTCCGAGGCCGAAGCGGCAACCAACGCCGCCTCCAACCATTCAGTAGGCTGGTGATGTATGTACTTCTGTTGCTTGAAACACTTGTCACTTTCATAGATGATACCTTTTCTTCGTCTTTATATGCATAGATTGAGATACGTGTGAGCTTACCTTAGACTTGCTTGAAGAATCATATCATGTCATGATTGAGGACGGAAGCCTGTCTTGTGAGAGGTCTCATTGAAGTGATGTGAACCTAAGAAGCACGTGCTGTACTACGATTGGAAAGAGATATTTACCCTCAGAGTCAAGGCGGAACCTAGCAAGTCTGCTTTGTTTGAATTCTACATGCACCGACTGATCTTCTCGTAACACCCGCGGTTGTTGTCCTGTGAGAAACGCTGATCGGAGTATGGGTGTAGACTTAAGGGTCGCAAACCAATGCGATTCTATCAAGATACAGCCCTTTCCCGCCTTGCGCTCACTTTCATTGGTAGACGTAACGCTCGTCTGACAATGTGAGTGATGTAGTGTTAAGTCTCAATTGGCTCTTTCCCATGCAGCACACACAACCTGCAGGAAAGCCTGACGCTTGGGAGGCACTGCTGGGGCTTATCTGCCTCGCAGCCTGCTTGATTCGGGCGCTGAAAAGCGCATCAACCTCCCTTCGGTCTGCTCGTACGCCTGGCTCTCTGCTCTTCTGGTTTGTAGCAGAACCCTTCTCGACGACCATCAATCATTAACCCCTAGCCTGAAACTTCGAGGCCGACAGACATCACCAGTAATCGAGGGCCAAGTTCGATCTCCACAATGGCGGAAGCCTTCGGCGTTGTCGTCAGCGCCTTTACCGTCGTCGAGATTGCCGGCAAGCTTGGTTCTAGCGCAATTAAGCTCAAGAAGCTTTGGAATGAAGCACAGAATGTGCCCCACGAGATCAGCCAGCTCGTCGAACAGGTTGACATCCTCAACACTATCCTTACAGAGATGGATAGAGAGCTCAGTCAGGCGGGCGCGGCGAGCATTGGCACTTCAGATGCTAGTCTGAGATGTTGTCAGCAAGTGGCGAACGAGTTGGAGATACTGTTGACAGACTTGCAAGAGCAAATCCTTACAGCGAAGAAGTCACGTAGGAGCATGACGAAGCTCAAGGTTACTTTGAAAAAGGACCTGATACAGAGTTGCCAGCAAAAGCTACAGTTCGCCCTGCAGATGGCACTATTATCACAAAATACGAGGATTTTGTAAGTGCATCGACTCGTTCAGAAATAGGACACTTCTAACAATTCCTCCAGTGCCTGTATTGCTGGTAGGGCTGAGTCAACTAGAAGTGACGTTGAGACACCGAAGGCGACCGCGTTTACTCTTGAGGCTTACCCAAGCCGACACGTGCGACTGACAGAGGAGCCAAACTTCAATAGCGAAGCTTTTATTGTGAAGGCAGCCAGGATGGAGCCACTTCACAATGCACGGCCTTCCTTCTTCGGCGGCTTTACCAGCCGGACTGTCCCGCACTCTAGGTATCACGGCGTTCAAGGTGAGAACCTAGGCAGGTCTGTGAAGCGCAAGGGTTTTAATAACACTTCGCAGTATACCAGGCACGATTACAGTTACCTTGGTGGATGTCAGCGAGACTATGGGATATTCAGACATACCGAGCGCACGCTGGATGGAAGTTCTCCCTGCGAGCTTGGACAGTCCGACCCTACAGCAATACCCCTATATTCAATTATATAAAGGATGACCGCTGGAGACTTGCGCTACGTGAAATTGAAGAGCATCGGGCATCGTTGTTCGACCGTGACGAGGACGGATGGACACTGCTACATGTATGCACCTCTACGTTAATGAAAACTATACCTATGACGCTAATACAACCTTAGTTTGCAGTCAATTGGGAAAGAATCGAAATTGTTCGTCATTTACTTGGCATGGGTTTACACTTGGATGACCTGGATGTTCAGACCTCTGAACTCCTCACATTTTCAGCCTTCTGCGATGACCCGAATGATACGTTGGAGCTTTTCAAAATTTGGGTTCACGTCGCCGTCGATGACTGCCTGGAAGATTATTTTACCCCAGACGAGACCAACCAGAACCTATCTGCCATCTCAAGCTTTTTGTGGCAGTCCCCCGAAGCTTACCAATACGTGACAAGAAGCCTGGCGACCACGTACTATCAACTCCCGCTGAAAGTACGTTACGCGCATTTAGACTGGTGCTATGTCGACCCACAGATCCTACTACACGATATACAGCACGATGGAGGTATCAAGCCCGCTGACTTTAGTGTGATTCTCGATACATCAGGAGAAAGCTCTCTACAGACACTCGTATCGTTTTACGTAAGGATTCAGGCCTTCGATGAGGAGTCTAGCTGGAAAGAACTTGTGCGGTGGATTCTTCAAGGAGTGTCCTCTCAAAGGCTCAGCATGCAGACGTCTTTTGTTGCCACGAAGGGGAAACCCCCTTATTACACGCCACTCATTTCTGGGCTTTACGACAATTTATGGGATCATTCAGAATATAAACGCAAAACCTCCCTATTTCTACGAAAGTGGCTGGAAGACGTGCAGATCTCAGATCACGACCTTGAAGAATACGGCCGACGAGAGATGGAGTATTTCAAGTGCGAGGTGCGGCTGCGAGAAGAACGTTTGAGGACCTGGTCTGAAACCATGGAGCCTGATTCTGGCATGCGACTGGTATCTTTTACGTATGGACCCGAACCTAAAGATTGGAAACTTGTCTGGAGTCTGGAAGCAGAGGAATACGCCGGCGAGTTTTGGGATCTGATCGAGAATCCGCCTTTGCGAGTCCCAGGAGCGTGGGTAGACGAGGACTGATAGTTTTGAGGGGCTAGTTAATTTCAGATCCTCAGAGTCGGTCTTATTCATCTTCAAACCTCTTCCAAGTTGACCTTTGCCCGTACCAGAATCGCCGTCCTCATCAAGGTATCATGGAAGCTGGAAAAAACGGGACAAAGGGAAGCGGACATCTGAGGACAGGATCAGGGTCTGGCTTTTGTCAGCCAGCTGCTCCTCCCAAATTTACGACGTGATGGTGTTCATGTAAGCTGGCTGTGTTATCATGGGTGAGCAGACTCTTGTGACTTTGTCACTTGTGGTCCTGTGCTGTGCCTTCCTAATGGAAGAGATTATTGAGAACAGTATCTCCAGCCGCTTCGCAGAGTACATTTCATTGCCTCATACCCTCATGTAATCTGAGGCTGCCTGGCCGTTGAATATTATCGCTCCCGTGCCCACTCTATGTCTTCAGGTCTATATCGCCACCCATCTAATCCAGTTGTCACAAGAGCTTTGGACAGAGGGACGAGACGCAGGGCCAACCGTTTCATTCTCCAAAAAGGTCATCGTTTGGTCCGCCCATTGCTTAGCGAAGCATGCAGCTATTTGCGTGCAGTGACAGGAAATATCCAGGCCTATCCATGGCTCCAACGACGTCCATGGTCTGCGGCGCCCTCAAACTTGGCGCTTAGTGGTTCGCTCAGGCAAAGGAGCTAGCTGCTTCACTACTCATGGCTCTGTGCCACCAAAATTTTGAGACAGTTCCAACAAGAACTGGACTCGGCCCCTCAGTTCAGCTGGCGAAGTAGGCTGACCAGTGGTGAGGGGTTCAGGCATTCTCGCAGACAGCCATGTGCGAAGCTGCGCACTCTAGCATGTCTAGCGATTCTGCGGCTATAAGAGGGCCATTGCTTATCATTTAATACTTTTCAATTCCCTTGTGCCATAGCCTTTTCAATTGAATTATCGCTGCAACACGGGATATTCTACTGCTCAAAGAAAGTCTAACGAATCATGGAAATCAACCAAGTTGAACCCGCGATGCTTCCGCCCGGCGAACTCAGGATGCGCGTGGACACTATATTGGAGCATGAAAAGCAGCCAATTCTCGAGCTCTACAAATTGCACCCTCTAGATGAACTGATTGATTACTTGAGGACATTACATGGTGTCTCTGTGCAGTAAGCTGCCCCATAACATTAGCAAACAGAGATACTAACTTCCGACCGTTAAGGAGGCGGCATCTCGTCTACAAACTAGGAATTTGGGGAGCCTCCAAAGACAACGAACGCGATGAGGGAAAGTTGTCTTCAATTTTAAGTCAACATATTCAAGAATTAGTCGAGACTGGTTCCCTGTTCGCGAACCCCAACCCCAAGGGATATTACTTGTTCAAATGGGCCAACGAAGCCGACCAAATCTTCCATGATTTCCGCAACAACGACAGTCATGACACTCTTTCACCTTCATCTTTTACAAAATTGTTGGAAGATCTCAATGAAGTCATCACGGATGAGCACCCTCAGCTGATAAGCGTACTATTTGGCGTTTGGGAAGGTATTACACAGATCGATGATACCAACACTGCGAGCAGATACTTCATCCATCAAGTCTATGCAATCTGTCAGAAGCTTCTCGGTGAGGATAATCTCATCACAAAAACCTTCGATTGTCTCAATTTCGGAGTCTTCAAGCCAGCGGAGTGTCTGGAGCTCCTCGAGTTCCTTCCAGCAAAGCTTTTCGCTCAAAAGTCTGAAAGCCTTGGTCCAAGTTTCGAGACGAGCGACAAGACGAACGACAAGACGAACGACAATCAGATTACATCCCCAGAGAGTGGAAAGACTGCTGTTGATTTCTGGATTGAAAAGTCCCCAGCCCTCAAACCAAACCTTGGGAAGGTTGAGACGAGCGAATCCCTCAGCGACTTCTCTCTGCGTACACTTTCGAAAAGAAAAGGGCGCCGTGATCTCGACATCTTGGCTATTCGGCATCTTTTTGAACACAACGACGGGCAAGAAAGGCGATTCTCAAGATCGGTTCCTCAACCCTTTCCTTGGAACACCTCGACGGAGAGGTGGCTAGCTGAACCAAGTCATGGGCCGCCTTACACCAGTCTTCAACAACCACCAAACATCTTCGTATCGCCAAATAGCGCCAAGAATATTCCATCTGGCACTTTATTGCGCAGCCTGACACGATTATCCATTGAACGTCCCAACGAACTCGACACTGAAGACTTTTGGTCTCCACAGAAGCCCGGACATGTATCTCTACCAGTTTTGGAGCACGTGGGACAATCATCGAGCAAAACTCTTCAATACAATCCCTCAAAGGACTCTTTCGAAGGTAGCGACTTCGATGTTCTTGAGCTCCCGGGCAATCAAACATCTGATTGTCAGACGCCTGATCATGAATCGCCTGATCATCGGTTGACGACTCAAAACACTTGGTCGCCGCATGAGAATGAGCGTCAAGTGGCTGTGGGTGAGAGGTCAGTTTCCCCATACGGAGAGTCGGATTTTACGAGCGATTCGACGGCGGATGAACAACATCAACAAATGCGAGCGTGGGAAGCGGAAAGGCGCCAGATCGTCCAAACAGTTATGGATGCGTTCCTCCACGACTTGGATAGTCACTTGGAGGATATCATCGGCAGTTGTGTTGCCATCAAAGAAGAGGATGCAGGTGAACCTACCCAGGTTCCCTCTCAGGCCGAAGGGTCAACTAAAGGCGAACACAGCCAAAAGGCCCGAAAGCAACAGAAATTGTGCGGGGAGGGGGTGAATAACGGGAGACGAAAAGGAAAAGGTCTTGCTGGCGACAGAGATGAAGGGAACGAAAGCGCCGAAGACGGGGACGGCAGTGAGCGACCCCGCAAAGTGCCAGACATGAAAGGCGAGCCCAAGGATATGTCGCTCGCATGCCCCTTCTTCAAGTGGAATCCTCGTGTTTACCACAGGAAAAAGGAATGTGCAGGTTCAGGGTGGCCTACAGTTCATCGCTTGAAGTCAGTTCATTGCCGTTGACTTGGTGTTCTACCAGCCTCCTTCGCTGACACACTAACTCCAGAGAACACCTCTTCCGCCGGCATGGACGATTGCCATTTCAATGCAGCAGATGTCGGCAATATCTCAAGACGCAAGCCGCGTTAGACTCGCACCTCAGAGCCGCTCAGCTTTGCGAGATTAAGAACGAAGCGAGCCTAAGCGGGGAGTCTAAGTTTGGGCCCGACATTGAACGTCTCCTTAGGGTCAGATCCTCACCGAAACTGACTGTGGCAGAGAAGTGGAAGCAAGTATACAAGATTCTCTTTGATGAAAGGGAAGATGAAATTCCCACACCTTGTAAGTGGAGATCCAATAAAGTTTTACGTCAGACGAAACTAACATACTGCCTTTGCAGAGTATGATCATGACATCTCGGCACTTGATCGAGGAGAGACTTTGATGGAATTCGCGCGCCGTGACATCGTGATTCGCGTTCGGCAGTATCTCAAAGCTGAGGTTGAGCGAAGATTTGCGGGTGTGGCACCAGAGCTTATAGCCGAGCTGAGGGATATCGTCCGCAATATGGGGCCATCTCTGATGCAAGACTTCGAGAGGAGCCAGGAACAAGCTAGCACCATCGATCAAGAAGAGGCCCTTATGGGACCGCCTCCGCCACCGGTTCTCGACGAATCATCGACGACTACAGCCCAGATACCTGGCAACGACGAGGGAGAGATGGCCGTGGTCCCAGGAACCGTTCTCAATACGGATAATAACTTGACGAGAAACTTTCCCCTCGACGATCCGCATCAGGAATTTTATTTTGCCTGGCCAGAAGCGAGCGGCATGGGGACGCAGGACCAGAGAATAGTCGAAGAAGAGGAACCGTTGGACCCTTCATTGTTGGACGTTGACTTTGATTTTGACTTCCTTAATTCTGAAGGAGACAACGACACGTTCTAGAGGTAGCAGTAGTGTGAGCATGCCTCAGTTATTCTAGGATTAGACCAAAAAACTAGAACGACTCAGTCTTCTCTCGTGTAAGCTTCTTGGCTGATAAGTGGCATCTTCGGAGGGTATAGGTGCTAAATGCTATATCGTGTCATCCGTTCGCTCAGGTCGACCACGATACATGTCTTTATCCCATGACCGACTAATCACCAGCAATGAGTTTAGGTCGGATCATGCAGTCATTGAAGGTACCTCATCTGATCATGCAGCGGCGGAAGAAACCCCGGGTCAACCCATGAGAACCTCAATAGCAGGGCAATGGATGAGGTATAAATCGATTGCGCTTTTGTATTAACTGTAGATTCTTCTCCTGTCAAAGAGCAATCCATCGTGACCTCTCGATGCCCGCGAGGGAACATGGGAGACGCGTCGTACATCACCCGCATGCCAAGAGGCGCGGATCCCCTCGCTAGGAGCCCCTCCCGATCGCCACGCCACTAACGTAGGTAAAGGTAGACTAGGGTATCTCTCCTCTCCCTCAGGAATGCAGCGGAGAGTCCGCCGCAGGCCTGCCACGCACACCTGTGGCCTTGAAGCCCAGTGTGCCCGCCCAAAAATAACATTATTGCCTGCCCTTTTGTCCTGATCGTCGTCGTATGCGTCATGTGCCTGTGATGTTGCTGATGTGGTTCCAATCGATTGATGCCAACGCCAATCCCACATGTGCGCAACACCATCACGTCCGTGGTATCCTGAGTCCTGAAGCCCCCCAATGCCATTACATGTATGTAGTCCTCGTCGAACACCAAACGCCTCGCCAGGAGTGTAGAGAGAGGGAAGAGAAAGAGATGGACAAACATCCTCCCAAAAATTCGAACCGTGTCATAACTCCATCATCATCGCAAGCTTCATCGAGCTTTCACGTTCTCGCCTTCTTCTTCTTCCTTCCCTCCCCTTCGTCCCGGCCCCTCTTGCTCGAGCCGGGTTGTGGTATTGACGCCGATGACGACGATCCTGCTGTATATGCTGCTGATGACGGGTGTTGGTATTGCTGATACTGCTGATATTGATGATGATACTGCTGAAAATCCTGCTCACCAAAGTCCATACCGGCAACGCCTTCGTCCTCGCCGGCGCAGGCGTCGCATTCCTGGTCAAAGGCGTGTGTCTCGACGTCGACGCCACGCCGACACGAGCCGAACTTGTCGGCGTTCTTGGCCTCGAGGCACGAGAGCTGCTGGGAGAGGTCGGCCCAGGTGAGGGATTCGTTGCAGCGGGTGCAGGTGCCCGCGAAGAGCACGAGGCGGCACATGGTGTGTGTGTTTTTCTTTTGTGTTTCTCTCGAGGCGGGAGGTGATTGAGGCGTTGTTTGGAGGGAATTGTGAGGAGGGCTACGAAGTCGAAGAGGGGAAGAGGTGGCAGTGTGGTTTTTCGAGCTCCCCCAAGCTCCAGAGTGATCCCTGGCGAACGAGTTTGTTTCGCGAGTGTTCAATTGGGTAGGTAGGACAAGGGGAAAAAGACAAAGAAGGATTTATGCTTGTTCATCGACCGTTTGGAAGTTGAATCCGCAATGACCTTCCGTTGGGGGTAAACAAGGTCTTTCGAGAGTAAGAGAATAAGAATTAGTCGGACACGATTCGAGGAGAAGGAAGAATGTTGAACGGCAGAAGAAGGATGAACTAAAATCAATCGTCGACGGATGGGCAGCCACAAGCTTTCAAAGGATCGACACGGGGGGGCCCTAGCACATCTCGATAGAAAAACGCGACCTGGAGCTTGACGGGTTGTGTTGACACACTGACAGGTACGGATACACCAGGACAGAATCATAAAGGGGGGTAGGGGTGTGTGTGAGGGGGGTGAGGGGCCGACGGGTAGAGAAATCTGAGAGGCAGAGAGAATCAGAGACATGGAGTTCGGAGAGGAAGCGAGAAGAGCTCATGCAGCCCAAGCCCTCTCTCGGAAGTGAACTCAAGAAGAAGAAACGAGGTTCAAGGAGAAGAACGACGAAGAGAGTGAAAAAAGCAACAATCATAGATGAGCAGGAAGCGCCCTCTCTCTCTCAGAGTCTCTGCTGCCAGCCTGCCATCCACCATGCAGCTCGCCAACAGCCAACCGTCTTGCAGTAGACTATATGCAGGATGCGGCTTAGCCTCGCCCTTGCGCCGCCGCCCAGCTGCACATCAAGACGCGAGACGAGAAAGAAAATGAGAAGCGAGCTGCATTTGCTGTTGGCTGTTCGATGTCCTGCCTCTCTGTCTCTCTGTCATGTCTGTTCTGTCTATGCCACGCCATGCCCATGTCCATGCTCCTCCCCGTCCATCCATGTGTGAGAGAGTGCTCCAATTCTTTTGCACACCCACCCCAGCACATCCACTCGCGGCCCGCGGCACTCTGCCGGGGAACACAGACAGGCCTTCCCGTCATGAGAAACGATGTCTCTGTGGAGTTGATGTATGTAAGAAAAAAGGTCTTTGGCGGCCACGCTTCATAGGATCACGGAAAGGAGGGGTGGGACGGGAACGGGGGTTAGAGCGAGGCGAGAAGGAAGAGGGCATCTTGCCCCGAGACATTTCTTGCAGTGACATTCCAGGCACCCAAAATCCGTCAGTTGTGTGTAACTTTTCTTCTCTGTGGAGATGAGGTGATTTGAACGGAAATGGCTTTTTTTGGTTGTTTCCAACGGCCGCTGAGACAATGTGCCGAGCCTTTTCCTTTCGCCTATGCGTACGTAGCACGACTTTCGCCAATACATACACAACTTCGTAGCAGCAGATCCAAGAAAAGAGTAGAATAGGTACGGATATCTTCCACCATTGACACTCGAGAGTCGAAGAACGAGAGTCAGAAAGAGATGTGCGGGAGGCACGGGAGACACGCGGCGCAAAAACAAGCTTTGAGATGGGATTGTCTTAGGGCCGGGCGAGAGAAGGCAGAGCATGGATCGCGAAGCGAGCAATGCAACATGCCCCATCCAGGATAGCTCCGGGATCAAGCTCCCTTGAAAACGGCAGACCTCAAGTTGTCCCCTCCCGAGTCCCGCATTCCTCTGTCTCTTGTCTCTGAGCGTGTCTCTCCTCGAGAATCGACAGCCATCGGCGTGGCAGTCCAGGTATCTTACTCTCCATGAGACCAAACCCCTCGATCGCCTGTCCTCATGGTCCAAGATAGCTATCGCGATGGTTTCGAAATGCTGTTACATCCAACACAGCCTCATGCCACAGTGCTACCTAAAATGCTCCCCCCCATATTCTCCCACTCTTGCCCCCCCAAAAGTCATCCTGCATTGCAACCTTGGATCGGCACATGCAAGGCCAGATAAGGCAGACGGTTCGAAGGGAACACACAGTCCGACAATCCGCCTTCCACAGAAAAACACGCGGGCACGGGAGCATGGACATCCGCACGCATGTTTTTGCTGAAAGAGCTCGTTTTCCTTCCTACGCTCGCTGGCTCGAACGGCCTAGACCCTTGATCTATTCTGAATCAACGACGCTGCTCAGCGTCCGTTAACAAACCTTTCCTGAAAAGTTGACTCGGGTACACCAACCTGAGGACCTCGTGCTCGTGCGCCTCTTTCTTTCCTATCCCGTTGTTTACGGAGAAGTTCGAATGGTCCTTTCGGTTTAGGCCGCCGCCCATCCGTCAGTGAGCGCCTGTTACGGCCGGCCGGTGGGATGACAATATTCGAACGGAACAGTAAGTGACACCAAATTGCATATCCTTACCTACCGACGGATACCGGTACATCTTTTCAAATGTCATGAACGAATCGGCTTCCAACAGATAGGAGGAGTCGGCGACTCGACCAATGCGGGGGGAGAGAAGCGCAGTCTCTCCCGCATCCCTCGTCCTCCCCTGCACGGCATGTCAGTTCATCACGTCTCTCTGTGCCCACACCAACCTTAACTTTACTTACACTTCTCGCTCTCGCTAATCAATATCAGTCAGACATTGACAGGTAGGCAACGCATGTAAGAAGGGCGGTTGTGAGTTAAGGTGTACGTACGGGCGACCGTCCATGCATACACGTCCCTGTCCAACAAAATGTCTCGCATGAGGTTTGCATCGAAGCACAACTAAACTCTTGACTGTCTTGCCCGTGATAAACAAAAACAGCCAGAGTTTTTGTCAAATCGTCTGGCACTTTCTTGGCATGGTGTCGGAGATAGTTCCCGCCGCACAGAGCTCTCGACTCGCTCGTCCTTCCGCGCGCGTCGACAGTTGCAGATCACAAGCATCATTAGTTTTCATTTCCAGATGAACCGTTTGGAAAGCTTACCCACCAACACCTAAACTAAACCCTATCGCCAGTAAGTACGAAAAATGAAAGATGAGGCAGATCATGAAGGGGACAGAGCACACGGCGCAGCACAGACTTGAAGCTCGCAAAGACATTTCACATGCATCCAGACAGGCAGATGGATGAAGGTAAGAGAGATAAACCTCACGTACATCAACCATGCACAGGCACCCGCACAGGCGAGAAATCTCGCCTTTCTCTCACCTTACTTTTACACTTGTTCATTACCCAAAACACCTGCGAGATGGAAATCAAAACTTCAGTCCAGATACCGCAATAGTCAACTTGCAGCACAACTTCTGAAAAGCAAATCTCAAGCCTGATGTTTCCCGCAGTCCGCATCAGGGCCGATAAGCGAGAGAAAACATGTCTGTTCGATGACACCACGATTTCGAAGGACCCCTTTTCTTCTCTCTGCCTCACACACACACACACACACACCTCTCTGTCTCTGCTCTGAGGCTCTCTCCCACACAAAGTGTCAGTGCCATCAAACGGCGACGATCAATCAAAGTCTTGCTGCCTGCCACGCCACGCCACGGCTGCTACCACACTCGCTCGCGGCTCAGCCCCCCTCCTACAGAATGATGGACATGCCAGAAGCTCTGCCGCGAATATCGGCCCTGGTCTAGGCCACGGCTAAGCACGACCGTCCATCGTCCACTGGCCACCAGTCCACCCCGAATGTAGTGTTACAACGCCGGTGTACATCGTTATTCCCTGAGCGAGCGTCGCATCAGCCTGGATCATTTTTTGACGATGACTGATGATGATGAGCATTCTTCAACTTTTCCTGCTCTTTTCTCTCCTGCTGATCCAACTTTGATTGCTTGTGACAGTCACATCAGTCATAAAGCTAAGAGATAGGCAGAGAAGATGCAGATTATGTGTGACACTATAGGTAGAGAGGGCGAAAGAATTTCATGAAACGAAGATTCCACGATCGTGGGAGTCCATTCTCATACATCACTTACAGTCCCTCCATCGCCCTCCCAAACCATCCACTGTACAATGAGTCCATCAAACTCGGTGGACGGCAAATCGAAGCATCATGACTCTGTATCCCCAATCTCACCTGCATCCCAGAAACACTTGATTGATTTGATCCCCAATCACATCTTCTCATCTCCATCCAAACATTCCCATCGCCATGTAACGTTTGAAGAGTCCAAATCATTCCCTCTCTTTATCATGTGAAAATCAGTTCAACTCTCTTACTCACTCACACCTAAACGACCTTGACCTGCCTCACCTTACCTAAGGAAAAACAAGGTTTTCCTCATGCCGCCGTCTTACCACATTACGTCTCGGGAGGCACAGCTTCCTACACATCCGGGGCGACCACAGCGTCAGTCCCAGCACGTGGCACCACGGACGTTGCTTATCTGGTATCTATCTTCAAACTTGCATGTTGAGCACGCAGCACTGCGTTCACTCTGTTTTGACGACAGTGTCCTGCCAAAGAGACGTTTCCAGATCGTGTACACGTTTGCAGTAAGCGATCAAGCAACTTTGTTTTTATTACCCGGTCGCCAAAGGAAACGGACCTGAAGCGTGAAGGCATGTTCTCTTGCAAGCAAGAAAAAAGGAGACGGCAAGAGCTAACATGTGATTTACGAAAGGAGTTATTTGCTGTAAGACTCACACATCACACGTGTCTCATCAGGTCAGAAGAATTCATTTGACTCGGGATTAACTATTATACAGAGTGCGCTTTTTGTTTTTGTTTTTCCCTTCCTTTGCCTGTTCGCATCCCTAGTTGCGCTTCATCCACCGGAAAGAAAAGAAATTGGGAATCAATTTTGCATATCGCATGAAAAGATGCCGGTCAGGCATTATACCCACGAAGACTGTAGAAGGGAAAATGGACTATACGATAGAACCCTTGGAAGCGAGCTTTACTCAGGAAAAAGGTGGCCGCTCATCGACAGACAGATTCAGTCGAAAACCATGCAGATGAGGCAGAGGCGGATGCCATTGCGGAAGGCAGAGTATGTCCTTAAGCGAAC